AGCACTCCACTACAAGCTGTGTTCTGAGTTTTTCCTTGTTGCAACGAAAGCCGTCCCTCTGTCTAAATCTCTTTCCCCACCCCCACCTCCCATTTTGCAGCAGGCCATTTCAGCTGCCTCTTAGCTACCCTGCCTTAACTCACATTTGATAGCCTGGAAAGAACAACCAGGGATGCCCAAAGGACTGCCATTCCTTTCCATGAGCCTGGGCTGGAGGCCCTGACCCCTTTCTTCAAACCTCCCAACCTCCCTGATTCCCGCCTCCCCCAAAGCAGTCTTTATAGGAAAAAGGAAGAGCCGCCCAGGGCCTGAGCTAAAGAGCCCTTTCCTATCCTTGGGCAAACGAGGTAGACCTCCCAGAGACCAATGCCCTGAGCGAGGCCTGGTCCTTCCCCACTTCCAGGTGTGGGCCCCGCACTGCCTTTGTATGGCCTCCCTGCCACAGAACCCCCGCTTGAGGAAGCTGTAAGCACAATGGCACGGCTGCTCCGGGCACCCTCAAGCCAGCACCCGTTGAGATGCTGGCTAGGGTGAAGGTTTCTTTCTTCTGCTAACTCCCCTTCCCGCTGCGGGTTCTCCCGAGAGGAGAGGCCTGGGCCCAGGGCGCCATTGCCGGAGCCGCGCTCCCCTCCCCCACTCTCTTCTTTCTCTGCTTCTCTGAGACGCGGGAGGGAGGGGCAGGCGCCTCCGCCGATAGAGCAGCTATTGTGACCTTCCCTCGCAGAGCGGGAACCCAGCGGAGTGTGTACCGCCGGCGGTGGCGGGGGAGGAGGCGACTGTGTTTGCAAACCTCGGGTGCGGAGGAGAGTGGCACTGGGAAATAAATAAAGGTTTGCAACCTCAGGCACTTAGGCCCTTCGGAGGGCATTTGGTTGTGTTTAGACTCGGGTGCTTCCTAACACTAATTGCAGGCTCAAGAGGAGTGGAATTTATGGCGAAGGCCAAGGCGGCTTGTTTATAATTTATGAAGTTTTAAATGGCTGTGCCGGGGGCCGCAGCTCTCGCCCGGGCGGGCGGGGGCCGCGCGGGAACGCGCCCTCCCAGGACCAACCGCCGCCCCCACCCGCTCCAGGAGCGACCGGGTGTGCCCATCAGATGACTCTCAAGCCAGTGGCAGGAACAGATCTGAGCCATTCTCACAAGTCTCAGGAACCTCCAGAGGGGAGAGAGAGCCGCAGGTTTGGTCCAAGCCAACTCCTCCACCCTGCTGGAGAGGAGGGCCTCGGGGAGGCTGCGGCTGCCTGGAGAGGGGACCCCCCAGCCCCGCACTTCCTTGAAGCCTGAGTGCGAGAGGAAGCTAGACACCGTTTAAAGTCTAATCCATGAAACCCTAAGCCGCAAATGACACTTGGGGCTTTGCAGACACCCGCAGACTCAGCAGATACTCCTGCGGTAACACGCCGCTAACACGCCGCGCTAGAAGACGCCTGGAGCCATGATGCATTATGTATTTTATCATTATTTATGATAGGAAGAGGAGATGAGGGAAACCGGGCCGAATCTAACCAGTCTAACAATTCATCTATTTAATATTTAGCCAGTTAAGAAAGGTGGTTGTAATCCCTGCAAGGTAGTGAGCTCTTCTTTGATTTCCCTAGTAGCTTAAAAAATAATTTTTTAACAGGACAATTAGAAATTCTGCCTATGGATGCAAACTTCATAGAAAACGATGTTAAGCCTTGAAAGTGGGTAAAATATGCCTTTGACTGAAGTCATTTATTCTGTTGATACACTTCAACAACATATATACTTTAAACCTGCTCAGATAGAGTGAAATTTAGCAAAAGGATATCTCCCTCCCGCCCCCAATCTAACATGCCATTTTAAAAACAGCACAAAGGAACAAGGAAACTAAATATTATTTTGAGTCATCATTACTTAACGAAACACAAACATCCAAAAAGAAACGATTGTTGTTCCACCAGAAGATTAGAAGTTAAATTATTTCCACACAATAGGAATTTCACCTCGTGTCACTGGGGATGTAGTAGGAGTTGCATTATTTGTCAAACCAAATAGAGATGCGTGGGCTGCCTTTGCTGAAATACAAAAGAATTGAACCTTATCTGAAGGCGTTTTCCAAGTGCCCCCTCCCACAGAAGCGGGTGTGAGTTGTCTGCCCCAGCTAAAGCCAGTTAATATTTACAAAATGGTTATAAATCCTTGAAGACGTTTTTGCCCGTTTTGTACAAAGAAACAGGAGTAAACAAGGTGTTTATACTTATGTTCCATTAATGAAACTTTATTACTTTACATCCAGGGGAATGTTTGTTTTCTTGAGAATTGAACTACCCACTACTACAAAGGAAAAATTCATGACAGCATTTCCTAGAGAAAAAGCTTAGGTGTGCAACCAAATAATCAAGGTGTTTTTTTTTTTTTTTTTCTGCACCGTAGCTTTTTCATAGCTCAATTCTTTTTATGACTTCTCTTGTATCTTTTTTTTTTTTTTTGATTGTCAGTTTTCTTTTAAAGTTTTTTTTTTTCTTTATTATGACTGAATGCAGAAAAGTAAGCTCTGGCATCCCCAATGTGAAGATTGTCAGTTTTCTTTTAAAGTTTTTTTTTTTTCTTTATTATGACTGAATGCAGAAAAGTAAGCTCTGGCATCCCCAATGTGAAAGTTGATTGTGTCTAGAAAGAGGGCTGTAGAAACAGCAAAGCAGGCCCTGCTTTCACAATGCCCTCTCCAAATTATCTCACCCAGAACATTCCTAGATTTGCATCCTCAGATCCCCCCCCCCGTTTAGATAACTGGAATGTAATCAGGTATCCCCAGAACCAATTTGTGCGCAAGATTCCAAATAAATAAAATAATTTTTTTCCAAAGGTTCAGTCTATTTCCGGGCCTTCCATGGTGATTTTGCGAAAGATAAATGCAGAGTGATCTGCTTGCAAGTGTGCGTGATTAACACAGATACACTTCCGACTGAGAAATTTTTTTATTCTAAATATTTGTTCAAATAGTACCAGACAATTTGAAATCAATAAACTGTGTGGAGTGGCGAGGGCTGCGGCCGTTGAGAAATGACTAAAGTGTGTCGTGCCACGCCACCGGGCTGCCTGACCCTACCCATGAAGGACAATTTGCGGTCTTAATCCTTAACATCAACTACAAACACCAGCCACGGTTACAACTGTTCAAAACTACTCTCTCAACTAGTTCAGGCCAAGGGGACTAAAGAGGTGAAATGTGGCCCCCACGGCCTGGGAGCGCGTTCCTAAGCTCGGCTGGAGAATTCTACAAATATACATATAAATACATTAAGACGAGGATAAATAATCAGGGAAACGAAATGACTCGCTTCAAATAATAAATACAGATCGTTTAGTCCAATGCAATCCTTACGGGGCAGGAAGGAGCATATAAATTAAGGTCTCGGAAACTAAGCTAGACGCGGGCCAGGCCCGGGACTCTCCAGGCTCCCGTCCCTCTGCAGGGCGCGCCGCCGATGGGTCTCGGACTTACCTTCGGGACATCATTACCAGATTATCTGAGTCCCTCGTCCGCAGTACAGGGCACTGTCAGGCTTACAGGGGAGGATCCTTGCTGCTGATTTATGGCGAGTCACCCAAAGGAGGACGCGCCTGGAGGGGAGGCCGGGTCGCCTGCGCCTCCGCCGCTGAAGGCCCGAGACCCTGAAGACAGCAGCCCGGCCAGAGCGGGGGAGGGGGTCCCCGGGCTGCCCCGCAGGCCCCGCCCGCCACCCCCACCACCAAAGCAAGAGAGGAAATTGCGCCGCGAGTTCGGGCCGGCGGCGGC